CTCACTGTAAGACTGCAGTCCTACATTTATTACAGTAGCAGTTCTCCTGTACAGACCCGGATGAGAAAGGATTGTGGGTTAATATGTAAATAGTGGCATATGTCTTAATATGCGAGGCGGGGAGTCCTTGAGCAAGACACTTAACCCCAAAATTGCTCCCGTAGCTGTGCCTACGGTGTAGAAATAATATAGAATCTGAATTGTAAGTCGCTTTGGATAAAAGCGTCTGCTAAATGACTGTAATGTAATGTAAAAGTACAAATAAACAGAGTAAAATAAATAAAATATGTATCCGAATAAGTAAAATATGATTTAAGTTAATATAAAAAGTTGTATGCATATGTTATTGAAAACATGTACACATATTTAATAAATGAACCCAGATAAATAGATTTAGGTGGACTGAACAGGCTCATCTTTTTCCGAAATAAACATAACGTAGGCTAGCCATTCATTTCAGATTTAATATTTTAAGTAGGCTGCAATTATCAGAACAACATGAACATTCAGGCTCCCTCTTGTGGCTCAAATGTGTACTGCAAATATAAATGTTTAATAAAAGACAATGAAATTCAGCAAATGTATTTGGCGACCCTAATTTAATCTCCTGTGACCCCCTGTGGGTCATGACTCTGTCTGTGGGAAGCACTCATGTCAACACATGGACACATGTATTATAGATGTGTCAAGAGTTGGATTGGATGCTGGATTCAATTAAACCAGCTCATCCGGCACGGGATCAGGGTCTGTCTGGATGTCAGGCCCAATCCTTTAAATTCATTTGACTAAATTATGCTTTCAGTTTCCTTTGTACCTCCAAATACTGTTTTGGCAAGGTCCGCCCTATAGTTGTATACCTTCCTGGCTTGTCACTAATTCTCCGTGTGTGTTCCTGTTGTAGAAGTACTGTGCCTTGGCCCTGGCTGCCTTTCTCACCATATTACTCACTCTGCCATCTTTCTGGAACTGACAGTCAAACGCATCATCAGGCAAAGATTTCTGTGAAACAAATGATCTTAGTTCTGAAGTAATGTTTTTGGAACGCAATCTTAGGAAACATCTTAGCACCGCTACTCCATCTCTTCAGGGATCAATAATGATATTGTTTATTTTTAATAAATGTGTCACTTATTTCATGTGTATTTCATTTCAGTAATGTACTGTTAGTTGGAGCTTCGCAGCAAGCTGAAAGTGGTTCTATGCAACAGCTGCTGCCATGCCCTTGGCCATAGCAATGGTGGCTGAGCAATAAAAGTGAATGAGCGGTCCTGTGCACTTCATTCCGTATGCATGACTGCAGCTCACTGCTTGCTGATGCAATTCCCAAAACATCTCTGCTTGTGACCGCAAAGTTACACTTGAGTTGCTAATCTCTCTGCTCGTACATCTGCTCAAGCTGCACCGAAAAAATACTTTTTTTTCTGAATACATAAATGACATATCGACTCATATGGTCGATGCAAGGTGCTTTGAAATATTTCTCCGATTTTTAGAAGTGTATGACCTTTCCACACACTACAGTTTTCACACAGATTTGCTAACATATGTTCATGCAAACAGTGGAAGTGCCTGATTTTACAATAGGGCTCACAAAGAAGAGCTTTATCTTAATTTCATGTGAACATTAAGAGGAGATACAAGGAACGGCTCTGCCTCCGGACGAAGAAATGTTCGGAAATACTTTAGCTACACTTTTACTGTGTTTATTATACATGACAGGATAACGTCGTAGATTAAGGGGCAGAGAGAACAATGAACCCCCCAGGAAAGCTTCACAGGGAGAGCAATGAAACCGTGCATGAGAGAGTCGTGGTACATTGTGACAAAGGTCAATGAGGCTATAGTCCACCGATGTAAACAAATGTAGATAGCTGCGTATGTATGTTTGCAAATCAATCCAACGCCCTAATAAAAATCTCAAATGTCTCATAGACTGTTGTAATATTAGCAATACTAATATCGTAACTTGTAAATTACTAAAAGAACAAAATCTGTGTGACTTCACATTCTATTTATGGAGAGAACGATTACATTGCTCAGCAGCACCTCTTAATCTAAAATACATTTGTGCTCATGTTTCTATCATGACAAAATGACCATGGCATGGCACTCCATAGCAAAACTGTTCCTTTTTTTCCACTGTAGCTGATGGTGTGAAAAAGTCAGGCGGTCTCCCAGGAGGAAAATTGATCTGAGAGCCCTCCCACTGTGCTGGGCTCCTGTCAAACCTCTATTGTGTGCTTTTTCTCCTTGGCTGAGCGTAGCTTTATACCGAATGAACATCTCCACTGGCTCAAAAATGTGGCGAGGAGGTCAACCGCAAAGTTTTGCAGACAGCAGAAAACTTCTCCCTGCAGTGCTGGAGAGTTTTGGGGGGTTGTGGGGAGAGAGGCACCGAAAGGAGAGGAGAGTTCTTGTCCTGTCAACCACATCCTGCCTCGCTCATATTCCTCTTCTTTAGATCTGTTTGAGGGGCAAACAAAAGCATAGGTGTAACAGTTATCTCGCATATAACTCACAGATAATTTGTTATATAATGATAATATTTCATTCACACATGGTGCTGCCCCTCTATAGGTGATCTAGAATGTGTCAAGAGAAGCGATATTTCTTCTCAGATCTGTAAAACTCCGATGGGATTTTTTAAATTAATCATAACACAGTGTCAAAGCAACATGGCGCATCACATATTCCTGGGAGAACACTCGGCATGTTGGTGCTCTAAATCTCCTCTGGAAGTATAAGTGCTGAGATAAGAAATGTCAACACAGATGGCTTTAAGACACGAGATGATAGTCATCTGGAGCATACAATATGAATAATGCTCTTTACAGGGATATCATCCGAACGGCTGTGTTATCATGAATAAAGCACGACAGCGTGTCTTGTGATGCTTTGCAAAAGTGCTGATACAGAGAGGTGTGTAGATGCTTTCTAAAACATAAGTTTAGAAAAGGAAGGTCGATGATGATCAGTGAGAACTTCCTCTGACTGCAGTTGCACTGTGGATTTGCTCACCACATGCATTCATATAGATATTAAGTCTTAGTACATGCAAAAAGAAATCAAACCTCACGCTGTAGAGTAGGTCTGTTGGTAGATCATGTAAATATTCTCATAGCAAGCATGTTACATGAAGGCCTACTAATAAATGCAACATTCTTATTTTGCACAACACATAGATGTATCCCTTCCTTTATACATAGCCCATATTGCCTAAATCAGGTATATTGCTGTTAGCAAATAAAATATAGATTAAGAAAAAACGTGTAGATATCTTATTTGTAGCCTATAGTTATAATAACCCAATTTCAGAGAATCCATAATGTTACCATTTCTACTAGGCCTTGCTTGTTTGGACCGTTCAATCTCTGCCTAATTTACTCATTTTAGAGATGGCAAACTAATGGCCTCTGAAGCCATCTAGTGGATCACAATGGCAGTTACACTGCATTTTCGATAGGCATGCAAGTGAAGCTACTCTACAAAGATTCAATTGGGAATGTGGCATTGAGAGGTTTTTTTTACCACATGTACATATACACACTAAAAACAACAGGTTGAAATTATTTTTGGTTTCATTTCAGTATTGAGCTCATATCTTTATACTCGTTTGTTCCGATTGTTTTTGTCTTCAGAACCCCTGCAGCTGAAATTACGCAGCAACCACATGTTGGGAAAATAAGTCTATTTTTCGTTTTATCCACAAATGGGGTGATTTTTGGAAGCTGCGCTGCAAATCATGTCACATTTAGACAACTAGTTTTTACTCCTGCTTTATTGTTGTGGCAATTGCTTTGTATAAAAGTGGTTTTATAAATCCAGTATCGGTATTGTCGTTAAATATCGTGTTAGATAAGCGGGTTCGTAGAGGGCTTCAAGCACAAGCGGTAAAGACCTGAAACTGTGTAACGTTGTATCGGAGCAAAGCACACGTATCGGTCTTGTTGCAGACACCCACGAGAGCACAGCGGCAGGCTAAAGCTAGGTTTCTGCTTGCCGGTACAGCTACAGCATGGACGTATAAAGAGAAGACTTCTTCCGGTATCCGCCCCTCCTATAGGTCCTCTAAACCCGCCCAATTAATCGCTCTTGAATGTGATTGGTTCTCTGCGAACGACACCTTCCTAGATCTAGGTGTAATAGATCCAAAAGTATTTACTGTGTACAGTAAATATTTTATAGAACTTTATTAATGGAGAATTCGTATTACAGCAACCAGGTTACAACTATCACCAAATCAAAACGTATAAATAAACGGATGAGGCAAAGAATAAATAAAACAACAACATAATTAATAGTAACTATATTGAACTATTTAAAAACTGGGACTATCACAATGAAAGTGCCCTATAATTGGTTGGAATTTAGTAGTGTTGATATGTTTTGTTTATATGTGCATTGGAATTGTACAGATTAAACAATACTACTAACTCCAAACAACGTTCTTACTTCAATATTTATCACTTTACCTGTTTTATTTTTTCAGTTTGTGTAGCTGTTCACACGTTTTACATTGTTTTAAGCATTTGACACAATCGAGAGCAAGTTTGTATGCATGATTAAGAATATGACTATTTCTACGATACTTTATAATAATACTTTACATGGAAAAATACAATTACATTTTGTTTCAGCTGAAGAGGGTATACATCTTTTAACTCTTCAAACCTACACAATCATTATATTTGTATGTTATATACATTTTTTGTTTAATTTTTCCACAGACCATTTGCCATTTTGGGTGTGAAGTATTTTCTACCTAATCTATTTCTATAGCGGAAGTTGTACTCGGAGGTCAACGTCCAGAAGTAACCTGCATGCGCATCATCACATCACCCCACACTCTGCTGTTAAAACGTCTGTTACCTCATCATGATGTGACTTTTTCATCATAACTGGAAACAGAGATGTCGTAAAGACACCACTAAGTCATCGATCTGTTGAACTCAACTTTTTCAGGATTACTTTACGGTGCATCTCCACCGGTGAGTTGTCAGCCGAGATGTTCATGTCATGTCTGTCTGTCTGTCTGTCTGTCTGTCGGTCGTTAGTGCATTGACGATTTCGACCACGCTGCGGTACAGTGAACCTGTAGACAGTCGGCAATACTGTATCAGCGCTGCTGCTGGATTATTGTATTAGCTACTTTCGTAAACTGGCTAACACCTATCAGTTACGTTATTAGCATCTGCGCCTCAGTTTATCTGCGCCAGGTTAGGAAGCTAGCTTTGACTTGACAGGTGTCGTGACCGTTGATTAGTTGACTTTAACGCTAACTGGGGCTAGCTAGAAAGCGGTTAATGCTATGCCATGAAAATAATAAGTCTCGAGTCAGAAGTTTCGGGCTGCTAAACACAGCTCTGGGGATCATTGTGTGATGTTCCCCTGGCTCACGTTAGCAGTGTGTGTGGCCGCAGTGCTCCGCTTGTTTTTCTGGTCCCGCAAGCAGCTATCGATAGGTAAGGTGTGCCATACCTGGGAGTCTACTCATTCCACTTACCCGAGCAGCTAGTTAGGGGGAGAAGCAAACATAGTTGTAGCATCGTAAAGGAACAGAGGCAGGTAGGACAGCACTGTGCCATGTTATTCTTCCCATAGGGTGCCGTAATTAACGTTGAACAGCACGTCCTAGGTAAGTTAGCTAGTGGACGAGGAATTGAAGGAGAAGTCCAATACTATAGAGCAGGTACGTTAAGTATTTTCAGTGAAATATGCCCTGAAATCAAGTTGAATGCAACAAACAGTTATCATACAATTGTCTCCACCATTAAATTAGCTAAAATGTTTGTTTCAATTGGCAGGAACACTTTCAAGTGTATCTCACCTGCAGGCAGGATTTATACATGTTTTATAGACTGTTCTATAATATATGCTTTTCAAATAGGCAGTGTTTTTAATTTTTTTTTTTATTGGAGTGCGATTACTTAGGCCTGAAACAATGCTTCAGATGCTTACGGTGAGCGATAACAGTATGAACAGCGTGCATGTCCTTATTTAAACCTTCTTGCATTCTGATATTTAACTATGTTGGCATCTTCAACAATTGCCCCCTTTCAGACTCTGCACACAATATGCCAATGCTCCCAGTGTGAGTCCAAGTGTTGCAATATATCGAGAAACATAAGTTTATGTAACTCGCTTTTGCAACATGACAAACAGCACTGCATGCCAGACGAGGCGGTCTTGTGTCACACTGTACCCTGATATTTGGACTCTCTGTATCTCCTTTATAACCGTTGCTGCCACTGTCGTGTCTCTCTCCAGTGTTAGCAGCCTGTTCGTGTCGCCCGGCCATGGAACAGCAGGACGGTGCTGCCAAGAATAACCCCGTTGTGGCGGCGTTGCACTCGCGCTTCATCGTGGGATCCGTGTCGGAGGAGAACTCTGAGGATGAGATCGCCGGGAAGCCTGGCTTGCAGCTGGAGGAGAGGGAGACTCGCTCCTTGTCGCCGTCATCCTCCGATAGCTCCAGCAGCACCTATGAAATGGGATTCGACCACATTGACAACCCCTTGCACAATCTGAGGTTAGACCGCAAACCGGGTCCGTCCGCATCACCTCTAGGCTCTTGATGTTCATTCAGTGTTTTCACTGAATAGTGGTATCAGTTATGTGTGTGGGTCCAGGTTCTTTACATATTATGAAGGCAACGTTTTAGCAGCCTTGAAACGCATCATTGCTTTGTGGCTTGCAAATGTGATATAAAAAGGGAATCAGTGATTTTGAGCGCTGTCTCTATTAGACTAGTCCCTTTAGTGCAGGCCTGTAGTCTGTGAAAATATGTGCTTTCACTAGCTGCACACTGCGAAAGGATTTCTTTGTGTCCTGACTCGTGGTAGGCCTGGCAGCTAGGCATAGACTTCAGCATGTTGATTTGGGAAAGCTGGACAAGTGTTCACACACGGAAAATTCCCAATTCGACGGTCGGAGCTTTTCAGTACTGGGAGGACTTTGTTTAAAGCTTGCAGCAGTCTTTAGTTTCTCTGCCAGCCCCGGGTCTTTCACTGGGCTGGGTGAATTACATTTTCCTTTTTTTAAAAGCCTCGCCGAAGATTTTGATCACATTAAAATGAGATAGACACATGCTGATGTACAGGACAGCCTTTACCATGATTGCGTGCCGTTTCCTTTCCAGTGAGATCTTACACATGTTTCTATGTATATCTGTCCATTTGGTTCCTAAACATTGTTATGTTAAGCAGCCAGCCATATGGATCGTGGTGTTTTGTCTACTGACTACGAGACATGGGAATCATTGGGGGTTAACTTAAAAGAAGCTGCGACGGATGTTTTAAAACTGGAAATACTGGATGGGGGGGTCTGCCACCCCTCCTCCTCCTCTCTCCCTGTCATAGGAAAGAAAAAGAACTCTAGCAGCTCCACCGTTAGATTTAAATCAGGGCCTCCATTCAGTACGGCTCATTTGACTCTTGTCAGTAACCCCTACAGTGATGCAATAATGCAGCGTCAGGTCACAGAAAGCAGCCAGACAAATGAGCCCCAAGCGTTGCCAACACCCTCCAGCTGATGGCCAGTTCCCTCCCCCTGTGCTATTCCCCCCCCCCCCCCCCTATGGTTCCCTATGAGGTGTAGATCGAGTCAAAGAGCTCTGCATGCAGTTGCCTCAAGCATGTAAACATGTTTGAGGACTGTCCTGTGCTCTTACCTACAATATGTTCTGCTCTGTCAGTTGTTAAACTGTAAGCTCCATAAAGATAATATTTTTAACTCTTTTTCTGTCCATCATTACCATCGTTCCTGTCATCAGTTTGTTTTCAGGTTTTCTTTCACGTTTACTCATAGATTAAGCTGTAACTCGCTCACAAGCTATAAAGTTCAAGATAAGAGATGGTAGTCAAGTCCTCTGCTCCTTAGACCAGTCGGCCTCTTATCAATATGAGGTGATGTCGGTGTCTTTCTTTCAGCTTTTGGGCTGTAAATATAAACCGTGTTTTGTTTTTTTTGTTGTTTTTTCTCCTGGCAGTTTAAAAAAAAAAAAAGAAATATCTAAATTCATGTCTTGTATTTTGCACATCTGTCTGCTTGTTATCCGAGCTACATAATACCCCGTTCCTTCCAATACTAGAGATGGTACGAATGGCTGTAACATTCTTCGCCCTGACAGGCCAAGTATGTCAGGGTTGCACCTGGTGAAGCAAGGCAGAGATCGCCGGCGTATCGATCTCCAGAGAGACTTCACTGTGGCCTCTCCCGCTGAGTTTGTCACCCGCTTTGGTGGCAACAAGGTTATCGAGAAGGTGATGATTTTTTTTATTTAACTTCTTTATTTTTGGATGGAAACAAACCAGTCAAGAATTCCAGAACAAACAGAAGTTTGGATCACACAGCCTTGAAATGTATTAACTTACAATATGAAGCCATAATGCATATAGACACAGCCGTATCTGTGATAAGATTCAACGTTGGTAACTCAACTATTTTGCTTCTCCAGGTGCTCATCGCCAACAATGGCATCGCAGCGGTCAAATGCATGCGCTCCATCCGCCGCTGGTCCTATGAGATGTTTCGCAATGAAAGGGCAATCCGCTTTGTTGTAATGGTGACCCCAGAGGACCTGAAGGCCAATGCAGGTGAGCTTTTTAGCGTGATGCCTCTGAACACGTAAAAAAAAAACTGCAGAAAGTGCAACAGTTTCGGTGCCAGTGACTCAGCTAAGGAGTGTTGGGATGCACTGCAGAAGTACTATTTAAGAAGACCCTACACTGGTACCCTGTGATGAATATTGACTTGGGGAAATGTGTGGTTCTGTCTTTCACAGAGTACATCAAAATGGCAGATCATTACGTGCCTGTGCCAGGAGGGACTAATAATAACAACTATGCCAACGTTGAGCTCATTCTGGACATTGCTAAACGCATACCTGTTCAGGTATGACCACACACTTATAATATCTGTAGTTTTCCCACAGTAACTAGCACTTGTATCGTTAACTTAATACCTGTCATCTCCTGGTCCTTACAGGCCGTGTGGGCTGGGTGGGGTCACGCCTCGGAGAACCCCAAACTCCCAGAACTGCTTCACAAGAATGGCATTGCTTTCATGGGTAAGGGAAGCTTCTTACATTGCCCTATCACTTTGACCCTTTAACTAACCCTCACGTTATCCGTTAAATCGTATTTATTTTTTATTTATAACTCCTACCTTAGGTCCCCCAAGTCAGGCTATGTGGGCTCTGGGAGACAAGATTGCCTCGTCCATCGTGGCTCAGACTGCTGGCATTCCAACCCTGCCCTGGAGCGGCGCAGGTATGTCACAGTTTGTGTATCTTTCGGTTTACGATGAGCTCTGAAAACAATCAACGATTGTTGAACTCTCCCCAGATTTAAACTTCATGCAGTAGGCGTTTGCTTGTATGCTGAATATGTTATCCGTCTTGTCTTCCTCAGGCCTCACAGTAGAATGGACAGAGAGCAACCAAAAAAACAAAACTATCAATGTTCCTACTGACGTGTATGAGCTTGCTTGCATCCAGGATGTGGAGGATGGCCTGAAGGTAAGCGTGTCATTGAAGTGACTGTTCGAAAGAATGTCAAAAGAATGTTGCATTTGCTTAAGTATACATTGCATAGTTGCATGTGTGCTGGAAAGCTGTTTGTTTTCCGTTGCCAGGCTTCGGAGAAGGTCGGCTACCCCGTCATGGTGAAGGCCTCAGAGGGAGGCGGAGGGAAAGGCATCCGTAAAGTCAACTCTGCTGATGATTTCCCGAATCTCTTCAGACAGGTCCGTGGAAACTCAAACCAAATCCAGCATTTCATTTGACACATCATGCAGGACATAACGCATCACAGAATAGGGTTGGAATGTACCATTAGAGATCCAAATGGGGAAAATGTGTTTGCACCAAAGTTGGGGAAACAGTATCAGCAATTTATAATGGGGTTTTTGTGAATTTGTTGACAGCTAGGGTTTACTTTCTCTTTGGTTCTCCAGGTCCAGGCAGAAGTCCCAGGATCACCTATTTTCGTCATGCAGCTAGCCAAGCACGCCCGCCACCTGGAGGTCCAGATCTTGGCTGATCAGTATGGCAATGCCATTTCCCTATTTGGTAGAGACTGCTCTGTGCAGCGACGGCACCAGAAAATCATAGAGGAGGCTCCTGCCACCATCTCCACCTCTGATGTGTTTGAGGATATGGAAAGGGTACAAACCAGCTTGCATTGGTTGTACTTGTTTATAGCTAATAAGTGGAGATCTAAGATCACCCAAGTGAATTGAAAGTATGTGATCCTTGATGTGAATGGAGTTGTTTTCTCTCCTCAGTGTGCAGTGAAGCTGGCTAAGATGGTGGGATACGTCAGTGCAGGTACAGTGGAGTACCTCTACAGCCAGGATGGCAGCTTCTACTTCCTGGAGCTCAACCCTCGTCTGCAGGTGGAACACCCCTGCACTGAGATGGTGGCCGACGTCAACTTGCCGGCCGCCCAGCTGCAGGTCGGTCACACTCGGACCCGAGAGCACACTTCACATCAAATACAGTTAGGGTTAGCGTCTGGGACTCGCCTGGAGCAGACAAAGTTGGCACGCTTCACCGCTTAACACTAGACGGGGCCCCCCTGTCTCTATGGCAACGGGCTGCAAAAGAAGGGAGGCAGTACGCAGAAATACTGTGTAGTAGATCCATTGGTTGCAGCAGCACTGGGTCACGTGTGTGTTTAGGATTGTGTGGAAATAGGTCAGTGGCAGTCAAGCTGAAGGGCAGTGTTGCTGGGAGAGCTTTGTTTCCAAGCTGATTGGATGTTGCTGTGGGAGTGACACACGCTTTCTCTGGCACAAAGGATGAACCGGACTTATGGTCTGTCAGATAGATGGTGTTTATCGGTTGTCTCGGAAAAACTGTCAGATAAGCATGTCAGGAAATACGTATGTGGATCATTCGCCGTGATGTGTTTCCCTGTTTGTCCAGGGCCCATGAATCTGTTCCATAAATGTGCATTGATGTCGTACTATACCTCTATTGCCTGTCAGATTGCTATGGGTATACCTCTTCAAAGGATCAAAGACATCAGGATGCTTTATGGGGTCCAGCCCTGGGGAGACTCTCCCATTGACTTTGAGGGCCTGTCGACAGCCCCCTCCCCGCGGGGCCATGTCATCGCAGCACGCATCACCAGTGAAAACCCTGATGAGGTAAGCCTCACTGTCTCCCGGTACAAGAAATAATTAGAATCCTGTTGTACCCTAAATAAAGGCCATTGTTATCACTTCTTAATGTTACCCTTCTCTGTGCCGAATTAGCTGTTATTGTGGTTCAGTTTACGAGATGAAGCGCGGTGTGATTGCAGGGTTTCAAGCCGAGCTCCGGCACAGTGCAAGAGCTGAATTTCCGCAGCAATAAGAACGTGTGGGGCTACTTCAGCGTTGCGGCGGCTGGAGGGCTGCATGAGTTCGCAGACTCCCAGTTTGGACACTGTTTCTCTTGGGGAGAGAATCGGGAAGAAGCCATCTCGTGAGTACACGCAGCATTTTCGAAAAACATTGCTTAGTCAGAAAGAACATTTATTTATTGTTAATGATAATAATTATTTAGGAGGGCTTTCTTACGCAATTATTTAATCGGAGGTTTTTGTCGTTGACATATGTGGTTTTGTCTCCTAATCTTTTTCTAGCAACATGGTGGTGGCTCTGAAGGAGTTGTCCATCAGAGGAGACTTCAGGACCACAGTGGAATACCTCATTAAGCTGCTGGAGACTGAAAGCTTTCAGCACAACACCATAGACACCGGCTGGCTGGACAGGCTCATCTCAGAGAAGATGCAGGTATGTTGAGATGTTCCAGCTGTGGCCGCTGGGAAAACTATAATAAGAAACAAATGTGTTTGACATACTGACCCGTGTTATGATGTCAGTGCTGAAACCACACTACATCTGAGATAATAGTTATACTATTAGTAGAATAGTAAGACTTGTGCTTTAACCTACTGGTACGAAGCAGTTTTGAATGAAACTTTTTTTCCTGGCTCAGCAGTGAAATGTATGTTGTGTGCAGGCGGAGCGTCCCGATACCATGCTGGGAATTGTGAGCGGTGCTCTTCATGTGGCTGATGTCAATCTAAGGAACAGTGTGTCCAACTTTCTGCATTCTCTGGAAAGGTATAAATGTGGTGCTTTGTACTAATCCATTTAATCAATTGATGCAAGCAGTAAATACTACTAGAAAAAAAACAATAAATCGATAACATGAGGTCCCCTCTACTCTCTGACTAGGGGCCAGGTGCTGCCAGCGCACACACTTCTCAACACTGTGGACGTGGAGCTGATCTACGAAGGTACTAAGTACGTCCTGACCGTGACCCGCCAGTGTCCCAACTCCTACGTGGTCATCATGAACCACTCCTCTGCTGAGGTGGACGTCCATCGGCTCAGTGACGGAGGTCTTTTGCTGTCTTATGATGGAAGCAGCTACACCACCTACATGAAGGAAGAGGTGGACAGGTAAAGGGGAAACAACGCTTTTTAAATGATATAATCATTCCTAAATAAGTTGCACCACAGGGTAGAATGCAATATGTGCATATGTTTATTTAGCTGGTTGTGTATGATTTGACTGGAAATGTCCTCATTCAGTTAAAAACTTTACAGAAATTATTTGTTACACTCAAGACTTCTGATTTCTGGTTTCTGTTAAGACAAAGTATCTTATTTCCCCCCCACAAAGGTATCGCATCACAATTGGGAACAAGACTTGTGTTTTTGAAAGAGAGAATGATCCTTCGCTGCTGCGATCTCCTTCAGCGGGAAAGCTCATCCAGTACACAGTCGAGGATGGCGGGCACGTGTTTTCTGGCCAGTGCTATGCTGAGATAGAGGTACAGTACGTTAAGGCTTATGTTATCCACAACAAAGCCGGAATCAGTTCATGTCACTTTTTGAGTTGTATGGATTTCAACTTTGTACTTGTAAATTCCAGGTGATGAAGATGGTGATGACCCTAACAGCTATGGAGTCTGGGTGTATTCACTTTGTGAAGAGGGCCGGAGCAGCTCTGGAGCCTGGCTGTGTCATTGCCAAGCTGCAACTGGATGACCCAAGCAGAGTGCAACAGGTACTGTGTGTCTGATGCGTGCAAATCCACACAGGTATACGCTGTATGCCAGGTAGGATTTCCCATAGGCCTGCCAAGCGATGTGTAATGTATACAGCGTAGATACGGTTAATACATTCAAAACACGTATACGGCTCGATAATTATGTGATTTAAACAGCTGTTTTAGCAGATTGCGCTTTGTTAAAGGCGACAAAATAGACTTGAAGAAAAAAAATGCAGGGGTCTCTGTCAGCTTCTCACGGAGTCGGTGTGGATTGATACATTGACGAGCATCTATAACGCTTTCGGTGGAGGATAGTCGTTAGTCTATACAATAGATATTTGGTTGTGTGCATTTGTATTCATGAGAAAATTGCCAACAAAGATGAAGGCTCAATTATCTCAAGGAAGCTTGTGTCTGCAAACATCTGAACAAAGTCGGAAGGCAGACTTAATAGCAGAGAAGGAGCACAGATCAACAAATGTAAACTACAAATTTTGGACTACTTTCTTGGACAAACATTCATGATATTGTTTTCTTCAACTTGTTTATTTCAGAGTATGCCGACTAGTTTCTTCTTGACTGCACCATGAAAATCTTGTAAAATGTGTGCAATATATATTTATGTTTGTCTTGTAGGCAGAGCTGCACACTGGGCCTCTACCTGTTATCCAGGCAGTAGCCCTGAGAGGGGAGAAGCTACACAGAGTCTTCCACAACACACTGGATCATCTTGTTCACATAATGAACGGCTACTGTCTCCCTGAGCCCTTCTTCAGCGCAAAGGTAAGAATTCACACACACATGGGTGCACGTCGGCATCAGAGCGCCCGACCCTGAGCAGTTCCTTAAACAACATACCCCTTGTGTCTGTCCTAGCTGAAAGACTGTGTGGAGAGGTTGATGAAAAACATGCGCGATCCCTCTCTGCCGCTGTTGGAGCTTCAAGACATCATGACCAGTGTGTCAGGTCGCATCCCCCCTGCTGTGGAGAAGTCCATCAAGAAGGAGATGGCTCAGTACGCCAGCAACATCACCTCTGTGCTCTGCCAGTTTCCCAGCCAGCAGGTACGCTAACTACGCCCTCTATTATTCTGAAAGCGTACCTTGTCAACAACAGTAAAACTCCAGTTGAGAACCTCATTGTTCTCTTTCTTTGTTTTTTTTAGTTTTCTCTGCCATTAATAATAATAATATTAATAGGTTTCTATGGTAACCCCCACAGCAAACAGTAATTAGTTATGTTTTGGTATATAGCACATGTTTAACGGTGCCACGTTATAATAAATGAGTGTTTTTGGTTTCCAGTGATTTATTGCGTCTAAAAGTGGTGTAAGTTTAGCAATGGGATTTCTCAACTCTGGTGCTCATTTGCACTCTAATTTTCCAGCTGGCTAGAAAAATACTGTGTCCTTTTTGTACAGTTTCTTGTGCAAACAAATTGTATATCAAAATATTTAGTTGCTAATATAATTCAGTCTAATGAGAAAAGATGCCTGTCTACCAGCAATTTGCTGGATTATATAAACAATCCACTGGATTTGAAGTGTTATTACTGATAAAAACTTTGTGCACGTTCATATATTCATGCATAGTTTATGCAGAGCAAAGAAAGGCCAGTTCACTAACATGAGTGGTAGTAAAAGGGTTTTGACACACCTCTAATGAGATATCTATCTATCTATCACACTCAATTAGGATCCCACTCTGGATATAATGGGAGCAAGCTAACTGAGGGTTCATCGGTGCGACTAAATGCTTATGACTCTCCACTGCTGGTGGGATTAAATTCTCGTGTTGTTTGTCTTTCCAGATTGCAAACATCCTGGACAGCCATGCTGCTACTCTGAACAAGAAGTCCGAGAGAGAAGTCTTCTTTATGAACACGCAAAGCATCGTTCAGCTGGTGCAGAAGTGAGTGAGATACTTGATCACTCGCATACACAGCGCAGCCTATGACCCAAAGTGGCAGATTGCACAGACCAGCTTCTTGAACATAATAAATAGGTCGGGAGAAACCTTTTCTCTGTGGTTGTTTGTCTTGAAAAGGTATCGCAGCGGCATCAGAGGTCACATGAAGGCTGTGGTGATGGACTTGCTCAGACAGTACCTGAAAGTAGAGATTCAGTTTCAGAATGGTGAGAGACTGCACTTAATTATTGGTTTCAAGGGCTCATTGTTTTTGACACATGCCAGAGTAATCTGGGTTTTAGCTTTGCTATCCTTCCAAGTTTCTCAGAAGAGTTGCACTCACTCATTCTGTCCACTCGGTGGAGCTCTTACCCAATAAACTCCTCAGCATCTGTGACTCTTCAGTTCCCCCCTGTGCTAAGCTCTTACACATTGGCTTGTTAACAGGACACTATGACAAGTGTGTGTTCGCGCTGCGTGAGGAAAACAAGGGCGACATGGCAAACGTGCTCAACTATATCTTCTCCCATGCTCAAGTCACCAAGAAGAACCTGCTGGTTACTATGCTGATTGTAAGTGTCCGCCCTTACTGAGTCAGAACTAAAAGAGTTGTCCGATATCTAGCTAGCGATGCGACGTAACGTTCTCCTCTCCCGTGTCTAGGATCAGCTGTGTGGCCGTGATCCCACACTGACAGATGAACTGATGGCCATCTTGACTGAACTCACCCAGCTCAGCAAGACGACCAACGCCAAGGTGGCACTGCGAGCCCGGCAGGTCAGATGTCATTCGTAATTTGTGATATGGTGTTGTGTCAGCTTAAAGCCAAAACCAGATACATAGGACTTCTTCGTGTTTAGATAGGATAAATGTTTTTATCCATGATGTACGATGAGTCTCGCCACCAGATGTCACTATCTATTCTATTGGTGAAAAACAAAACAATAGAAAATTAGAATAAAACAATTGGCAATGCTCAGAAACACATTAAAGCTGTAGCAAAGATAGATGCTATAACGAATCATTTAATCATACATAAATGAACTGACAGTAATCCATGTATATGTTGCATCCAGGTGTTGATAGCTTCCCACCTCCCCTCCTATGAGCTACGACACAACCAGGTGGAGTCCATCTTCCTCTCTGCCATTGATATGTACGGACACCAATTCTGCATCGAGAACCTGCAGGTAGGGCGATAAAGGAGCTGGCTCCATCTAATGCTCTGAAAATGGAAGAAAAAAAAAAAAAAAAAAAAAGTGTTCACGATGACTAATTCTCCATTTCTTTTCTAGAAACTGATCCTTTCAGAAACATCCATTTTTGACGTTCTGCCCAACTTCTTCTACCACAGTAATCAGGTCGTCAGGATGGCTGCCCTTGAGGTGAGGGCAGCAATGATCTTTATTTGCCTTTTTTGTTGAACGCTACAATGCAGGCGATTCACATATCAAACTAATGTCTTCTGTGGCTTTATCTCTAGGTGTACGTTCGCAGAGCTTACATCGCCTATGAGCTCAACAGCGTCCAGCATCGACAACTGAGGGACCACACGTGCATAGTCGAGTTCCAGTTCATGCTTCCCACCTCGCACCCCAACAGGTATCACGCACAGAAAATGCCCGCAACCCTCATGTGCTGTGCATCACCTCTCCCGCTGCTCCCCACTTAACCGGCACTATGGACAGGGATCAATATTAATGACAGGGATGGATACTGAATTTCACATCAGTGGCGGCAATGCTGTTAAGTTGGCAGCACCGGTATATATTTGACCATCGCTTTATGTTAATTTTAGTATATATCCTAGCGGCAGCATCGGTTGTTGCTCCTACTCACTCAGCATCATTTGGTGGCTCCCTCTATAGTTGCATCTCCTCTTGCCTCACATGCCACTGTGTTATGCAACTGTCTAGATGTTTGTAGCATAGGTAGAGGTGTGCTGTGGTTACACAAAACATGTCACTCCAATGCCTATTATTATTATTATTATTATTATTATTATTATAAGATGAATATTTAAGGCACTATTTTAAAATCACTAACAGTGAAGCGCTCGAGTTTACTTCATGATCTGAGGTCATCCATGGTGCCCCGGTTCCTCTCCCAGCTATCTGCCATTGTTCATCGTTGTTTTCCATGTATATGCTCCTCATGTGCAAAAGAAGGTATTCTGCAAGACTGAAAAATACTTCATCTTGGTTTTTGTCAAAAGTGTGTGTTGGCCATGAGCAATACAGCTCCCAGTTGCCCTTCCTTTTAAGTCCTGGGAGAACATTGAGGCGCTCTTACGCCGTGTAAACCTTGAGGATCCCAGAGAAACCATACACAAACTCGGGATGAAAAGAAGTTTATTCTAGCCGATGTACTGTGGCATTTCTTTTGCATCCGACCTGTGTTGTTCTTTCTGTGTGTATGTTCCGGTGTATTTGCTTGTCATCGCCTCGCAGTGCTAGTATTTTTCTTTTGCCATGTTTGGTTCAGCTTGTTTATGCAGTTAGGTTTTTTTGAAAATCCTTTAAAATGCCATCACACATACATTTGATCGCATGCCTGTGATTGTACGTGTCTGAACTAACCTTCACGTTTGGCTCGTCGCTGTGAACTAAAGCCAGTACGAGTGTGAAATGATTCGCTGACTTTATCAGGACATAATGCATGTTGTCAAGGGAGCAGTCAGGAGGAAGTGAAATGTGTGTTTACTGCTGGAGAGCCACTACCAATTTACTTTATCCTCCATTTTTCCATTAATTAAATTCATTTAGATATTGATCAGCGCAAAATACATCCATCACGTTAAAGGGCACACAGACACACACACACACGCACGCATTGCTACACCTTGACTGTCTTCCTCTCCTTATGCCAGCCACTAACCACTTAGTAATCAATGTTGTTTGATTGCAGAGGGAACATCCCCACTCTAAACAGGTATTGTAAACATTCTTTTCATTGCATAGAATAATAGTGTAAACTGTAGATTAGCTAGCTGCAGTTCATGTTCTAATGAATTCATCTGGTGATGAAGTCAACAAATTGTTTGGTGCTGTAAATATTACCCAAATGAAACGGATTTAGCTACTGGAATTTAGTCTGATCGAGAAACGCAATGTTTCTAAATCTTACTGACGACAGCATGGCTCTTGGCATTCAGCCTCTTTCTCGCACATTTTTTCAGTCTGTGAGTTTGTTTGTGTCTTTGTGAAAGAGTGTTATATTGCAAACGGTTGCGTGTATGTGCTTCAATATTGCGGATATTTAGAATAACTTGGGATGTGAGGTGGTGTTAAGATAATGCAAACTACATGTTGGGGAATTGTTGTACATCAGTGCAAATCCCCTGAACTGAAACCGTTGACTGTGACTGTCCTGCCAGGAGAATGTCTGCTCCGATCCTGGACATTGCAAGAGCAGCGGAGACTAGATTACAGGCAACTAAACTCAAGGACCTTAAAGATAGTAAATCTAAGGATGATAATGCTGAAAAGACAGAGGCCTCCGATTCAGAATCTGTGGACAGGTTTGACACACAAAACCTCTTAAATGCTTTCAGTGGGTGTAACTTCTGGGACAGCTTCTTTCAATTAAAGGACTAACACCCAACCAACTGAAGCATGGATACTTAGAAGGGTCTTTCTGGTGGTTTTATGTTTCCTTGTTCCTAGGAAAGGAACACTTTGTTTTAATTGGACAAACACGTGACCTTTGTTCACATGCAATGGTGTTTTAATTTTATTCCTACTTGCTTTTTATAACTTTAACTTCATTCAGTTTTTATACTAACAAATTCCCCGACAATTTACACATAATTGTGTGTTTTCACACATCAAAAACTGGGCGATCAAAACTGCCGTGATGGGGAACATCTTCACATTGTCATTCTAGTGGTGTGGCAGATTCCCATTGTTATTGCTCTCTGTCGATACCCTAGGATGTCATTCTCGTCCAACCTGAACCACTACGGCATGGTGCACGTAGCCAGCATCAGCGACGTTCTGCTTGACGCGTCCTTTACGCCGCCTTGTCAGCGCATGGGAGCCATGGTCGCTTTCCGCTCATTCCAGGAGTTCACCAGGTCAGTCCATTTCATAGTTTCTTAACTTTGATGCATTCCATCGGTAGGTGTAGACAACGTTTCCTGTGATTACTTAGATGTGTGGTTTTTTTTTTTTTTTTTTTCTCCTCTACAGGAACATAAACGACGTGCTGAGCTGCTTCTCTGACTCTCCTCCGCCAAGTCCAACCTTCCCAGAGGGAGGCAGTCCTGTCCTGTATGGCGAAGAGGACAACAAGGTGACGAAAACTGAGAGTCACAGGCCTGTCATTGACCTGCGTGACTGTGTACTTTTGAGTGTAACGTGTAATTGCTTTGTCATCCAGAGTGTCCTGGACGAGCCTATCCATATCCTGAATGTGGCCATAAAGACGGACAGCGACATTGATGACGACGGCCTGGCAGCTGTATTCAGAGAGTTTACTCACTCAAAGGTGGGAGCAGTAAACAACCAGGCTTCTTGATTTCAGCAGTGAGAGTACATTTTTGGAGATCCTGACATTTTTGCCTCTTTTTTTTTTTTTTTCTGCATTTCAGAAATCTATGCTGTTTGAACACGGCATCCGTAGGCTGACTTTCCTTGTGGCCCAGAAGGTGAGGGCCCTGTTTAATATTTACTAAGTCAACTACCGGAGTCCACAATGTGCTGCCCTGCATGTCACCAATTCAGCAGTTCTGAACTGCATGTCTCCAGATTTTTTTACAAGTGAACTGTTCCGCATCTTTCTTTTTGTAATTACTAATACTTTATTACTTTGTTTGTATGGAACGACATTCTGTGGTAATAATTTGCCTTTGAATTCGAGCTTATTTTCCTGTATCTCTTTCTGCATGCCTTGCTTTTTGCTGCATTTATGATGACAGGATTTCAGGAAGCAAGTCAACTGTGAGGTGGACCAAAGGTTTCATGTAAGTAGAGGAGGACAAATGAAATGAGGAAGAGTGACTCTTTTCGTCAATGCGTTTGGTTGAAAACTGTTCAAACATGCCCTACCAATGTTCACGTTAAATATCCAGACAGTCGGTGTTAAACCCCAGAACCACAAACTCCTTGCGTAGATGTTGTTACCAAGAATGTCAATTGTAAGTGCCATGCAGTATCATGAGCACACATTTTTAGCATGAATAGCAAAGCCCCCCAATCACAGCGGTTTTGTGATGCACTCTGTTGTGCGCAGGGCTGCATTTATCTTCCCAGGATTGACCCTTTATCAACAGAACACCCACTAGCATTTCGATGATAATGACAGGGATTTAGAACAGGATTAGATTTGAGGAATGCTCTTCGCCTCTGCTGTCATGTGTTTGACAATAGGCCTTGATTTTTCTTTGGATGGGACAACCGTCTCTGATGAGAGTTAATCATGCTAACTCGCGTCACCATCATTATGTGGCCCTTGTTACACATAGGCGGTTTTCAGTAGTCAGCACCATTCTGCATACTCATCCTAAAATGTTTTTTTCCCTCTTTTCGCGATATCTCAGAAGGTGAATATTGTGCGTGTGCGTGTGTGCATGTGTGCGTAGTCCCCTTGTTGTGTAGGCTTTGAGCCGATGAGCCCAATCGGTCTGGCATTGTTTTGGCAAATGGGGGGACTACATCTGATAAATGGGGATATGTTATTTATTGCCCTTGTGAGTGGTGAGATGGCTGCATGTACAACACGGTCCTTACTGGTGTAGCAGAGCCCTGCTTAGCTTATTGTCCCCTGCTGTGATTAGGTTTATAGCTTGTACATGTCTAACTGATTTAGTATCCTTAACCCTGATGTGCTTACAACCATGCTTTTTTTGTCATAGAGACTATTATTTATTAATTTGTGTTCTTTCTATCTCTGTCTCACTTTTGTCCACACAGAGAGAATTCCCTAAGTTTTTCACATTCCGTGCCAGAGACAAGGTGGGTGTTTAGATAATACAAACGGTTTGTCAAATCATCTAAATCTCTTCTGAATGGTCCAAATCAGTGTTTGCTCAGGTAGAAATTGCAAAGACGGAGGATATGTACATGCATCAGGTTATTGCGACATTGCAAATGAACCCATAAATGTTCAAAAATAGAACCCATTGATTGACTTTCCTTTGGCTGGGAGACCATTGTGGTGATAGAAAAAAACAACTTTTCACCCCCCTGGCACTGCTGAATTTCACTCTATCACAGTCGGTGATGGCTCTTCCTCTCCGTTACCCCCGATAGTTTCACTACAATGACACCACCAAAACTCATTAAAGTAATGAACTCTTTAATTATGTCCCACATTTAAGAGAAATTACACCCATTAGCAGCTTTCTGAGATCGAGATTGCCCATAATTTCATTTACTTAATACAGTGTTTCAGCTCACAGGCATCTTTATACTCTTACATCAACTCGGTGCTCCTGAAATTGCCAATTTTCTGTTAATGAAGTAGATGATGGCAGGAAAGCCTAACTTGTAAAGTAGGAAGTTCTTTGGGAAAGTCTTTGAGCATGTTCATTTAGAATGCTGTAGTGGTTTCTGTTTGTCATTGTGTCCGTTTCTCAAAAGTTTGAGGAGGACAGGATCTATCGCCATTTGGAGCCGGCACTAGCGTTCCAGTTGGAGCTCAACCGTATGCGCAATTTTGCCCTGTCTGCCATCCCGTGCGCCAACCACAAGATGCACTTGTACCTGGGTGCAGCCCGCGTGGAGGTGGGCACAGAGGTTACGGACTACCGTTTCTTTGTGCGAGCCATCATCCGCCACTCTGATCTGGTCACAAAGGTGAGACTACGCAGGCGCAACCTTTGCATTCTCTCTTCTCTTTTTTTTTTTTTTTTTTTAAAAGTGGTTTGCGCAGGGTTTGGATTCTCCTTCACAATTCTTTGTCCTTTCCGTTTGATTTTACTCAGTCATACCTGCACCTGTTGACAGTTTCTTTCTTCTGTTCCTTCACCAGGAGGCCTCTTTTGAATACCTTCACAATGAGGCAGAGCGCCTGCTGCTGGAAGCCATGGATGAGCTCGAGGTGGCTTTCAACAACACGACTGTACGAACTGACTGCAACCATATCTTCCTCAACTTTGTCCCCACAGTCATCATGGACCCGTCTAAGGTTTGTGAAACTATCACAAACACGCACATATCTTATACACAGTCATACCACAGCTCACAGTGTTATTAATGAGTTTGCTCTCTTTCCGAACTTCAGATTGAAGAGTCTGTGCGCTCCATGGTGATGCGTTACGGCAGCCGTCTGTGGAAGCTGCGTGTCCTGCAGGCTGAACTGAAAATTAACATCCGCCTGACTCCAACAGGAAAGCAAATCCCCATCCGCCTCTTCCTCACCAATGAGTCAGGCTACTACCTGGACATCAGCCTGTACAAGGAGGTCACTGATGCTCGAACGGGACAGGTGGGGCCCAAAGACCGACAGGTGGGGCACTCATACATCTTCCATCTCATCTGCTTCTTGTCCCATCGCTGGCTTAGGGTTTCAGCTCCCAGAATGCAGTTTACCAGCCTCTCGTGTAAAGTCAAAGATGGGGGTTGTCTTTTTTTCAAATACAGTAGAATATACAAATTCTGGCTTTAAGATTTTTGAGTAGGAGTAAATATCTAGTATAGTGTTGTGCCCTGAGCCCGGTGGACAATTTTTTCAGTAATATCCCTTTAATTAACTCTCAGCTGATCAGGTAAGTAAGACTTCATCCAGCCATTCATACACCTGTCCATCAACCATCCATACTAGGGAATGTGAGAGTTGTTGAGTTTGTTTTCTATTTGAAGATTCTAAACACGGTTCACCTAAAAAAAAAAAAAAAAAAAAAAAAAAAGATTGAACTTGAGTTTAGAATAAGTGTAGTTGCAAAGATAAAGCTGGTATTATTGTGGAGGGGAATGATTTTGGTAAAACAAAAACATGCTGCTGAGCTTTTTCAAGGTTTGTGTTGGCCCAATTCAGCAAAACTTGTGAGTGTAAGTGCCTGCATCAAACAAACCTGCACGAATGGGTCACAATTGAATGATCCTGTCTGTTTGATGGCCCTGATCATGTATGATGTGTATAGAATTCTTGCATCATATACTTTGTATCGCTTTATGCTTTAGCAGTGGGTACGACAGATACTCATTCTCATCGTGATATTTAGGCACGGTCAAGAGGTCGGCACATCTTTAAAGTGACTCTCTCTGTCCCTCTTTGTTCAGATCATGTTCCAAGCATATGGAGACAAGCAAGGTCCGCTGCATGGCATGCTCATCAACACCCCCTACGTGACCAAGGACCTGCTGCAGTCGAAGCGCTTCCAGGCGCAGTCTCTGGGCACCACCTATGTCTATGACTTTCCAGAAATGTTCAGACAGGTACCATACAACCATACCTAGAAATACCGATTAGGCCAAATGAGCGTGACGGAATTTATTCTGACTATTTCATTTCTTGTTCCAGGCTCTGAAAAAGCTGTGGCACTCTTACCAGGCCATTGCCCACTTACCCAAATGCCCCCTTCCCTCTGAGCTGCTCACCTTCACAGAGCTGGTCCTCGACGCACAAGGTCAGCTGGTGCAGATGAACAGACTGCCCGGGGGCAACGAGGTCAGTCTTCTTAGTTTGATGCATGAATACAGACATTAAACAAATTTAAAGATTGTTTTGACCTTTTTATTTGTCTATCCACCACCTCTATCAAAATGTCTACTCTGTTCTGTCTGCACAGATTGGCATGGTGGCGTGGCGGATGACTCTGCGCACGCCAGAATATCCAGCAGGCCGTGAGATCATCGTCATAAGTAACGACATCACACACAATATAGGCTCATTTGGGCCCCAGGAGGACATTTTGTTCCTGCGGGCCTCAGAGATGGCACGGGAGAGCAGCATCCCGCGGATCTACATCGCAGCCAACAGTGGCGCTCGCATCGGGCTGGCAGAGGAAATCCGACACATGTTCCACGTGGCCTGGCAGGATACAGCTGACCCTTATAAGGTCAGCCAGCAAACATAACAGTGCATGTGTGGGCTTCCTTTGCAAGATCTCATTTTACTAGCAGTCCCCCAATTGTATTTTCCTCATAATGAATGTCATTACTTCAGAGAATCACCTGCTAGCTGTGTTGGTTATTTATTTTTACATACTATGTATGTAAAAATGTGTCTTTTTCTTTACTATGGTATTTGAATCCCGGTTGTAGCTTTCCCTCGTCTTTTCTTTCAAAAGATTTATGCGTTTGTATATTGAATCTGTATCATGGTCTATCATAACGAAGCAGTCTTTTTTTTATTTGCCTTCGCAGGGATTCAAGTATCTCTACCTCACACCTCAGGATTACAAGAAAGTCTCAGCCCTGAACTCTGTGCATTGTGAACATGTGGAGGATGAGGGAGAATCCAGGTACGTCTTTTTTAATTTTTTTGATTACGTATTAGTACATAACTTTGTATGTGAGCAAATGAATATTCAAGATGCTGTAGTGTCAAAAGTGTTCACGTCTTTAAGGTTTAAAGCCCAGGAGACTACAGCAGAGGTGACAAAGGAAGGGAAAGCTACTGGAGGGTCACCTCTGGCTTTAAATGAATATATGTGTTGCCATGCAGGTACAAGATCACTGACATCATTGGAAAAGATGAAGGGTTGGGTGTGGAGAATCTGAAAGGGTCAGGAATGATTGCTGGAGAATCCTCTCTGGCTTATGAGGAGATCATCACCATGAACCTGGTGAGACTGAAGTGGGCTCACTTGTGTACAACAAAACACATGCATACCATGTAGCCACCTCCTCAGCTTTAAGCTGTACAATTTGGGGCGAACGAGGACTTGCTCTAGAGTTGATTAGCTCGCAAGCCGTAACGTGATTGTCTTGACCTATAGGTCACATGCAGAGCCATAGGGATTGGGGCCTATCTGGTGAGGCTTGGACAGAGAACCATTCAAGTGGACAACTCTCACATTATCCTTACTGGAGCGGCGGCACTCAACAAGGTAACAGTAGCTACTATCTAAATGCATATCTCAGGACGACACAAAAGAAAACATGATGCTGTTGTGTGATTGTGTGCACTGCAATACTGAAAAAGCATAAAATGAGTTATGTCTAAATTCACGCAACTGATGCATCTACACTTTAATGAGGAATTCACTATAAATACTATAATTTTCAGTTGTTTAGATAATATTGGAAGAGGAGCAAACTGATCTGGAAGCGAGCTGTGTACATGTGCGATCTTTTTTTCAATAATGTTTAAATTATATTTATATAGAAACTGCAGATTCTATACTATTTAATGACGGGGTTAATGTTTCTTTATGCATCAAAGAAAATAAATCAGAAAAATGTGCTTTGGCGCCGTTCCAACTGGGCGACCAGGCCTCCTCCTGCCTCGTTCTGTTCTACCAGGATTCCCGCTCCGATCCCAGCCACAGGCCTGCCTGCCACTCACAGTGGAATAATTGAAAGTGAACCATGAAGTCGTATTTGCATAGAAATAGAGTGACATGCCGGAGGCTGCGGTGCAGGACACCCATATCATTTGTTTTTAATCAAAAGGAAAAGTTTTGCTGAGGCAGATTGTTTTCTGCATCCAGTTGGTGTGCGTGTGTGTGTGTGTGTATGCCCTCACGCTCCACTACCTCCTCTTGTCTTGCGTTCCATTCTCTGTCCTTGTCAGGGAATTAAGATGACTCCATTTCAAATTAGATGACAGATTGCAACACGACAAATCATGCAAATGGCCCCATGATGGCATACCTATTTGCTGGGGAGCTCAATTGTTTTTCGATGGCCCGACTGTTTACCCCTATTTTTGGGGGGGTAGAGCCAGAGTGATGTTTACTGACAAAGTGTCAGCAATGCGCAGGTGATGTATTGCAAAATATCTGTTGTGTTTATTTTAAAATGGCACTGACTTCACCAGCAAGAAAAAGAGTAGTGGTTTTCTCCCTGTTTATCATCTGGTTTCCTGGCTATTAGCTGAAACTTAATGGAGAGCAGGAGGCTGCCACCCAGAGATCATCATTCCATTAACTGCTGGAAAGCTCTCATATTTTCATGGGGAGTGGATAGTAACTACGAGCATAAATACCCCAGTGAGCTGTTACATCCCATTGGCCCCTCATTTTCTTCCTCCCAGTCATCCCTCTCGGTTCCTCCTCCTGTATCCCGCTCTCTTCTCTCTGCTGTGGAATCCTAATGAAGCCGCCGATGGCCGGAGGCATAGGGGTTTTGTGTATGTCAAGGTGACTGCAATGTTTCCTGGGGCCGCAGGCTTTCCTGACAGCTTTAGGAGAGTGCCCTAGATTTGTAGCCAAATACATAACCATTAATGGTAATAAAGAAAGTAAATGATGGCTGAAAAGGTGAGAGCGGAGGCCAGGGATTGAGCTCCTCTCTGATTTTTATGGAACCATGTCAGGGCCTCGCCACCTGTTCTAGCCCGCTTATGAAAATAGGGTGGGCTGGGAGTGAGATTTTATGGCTTCAGGTTGGCATAGGGGCAGTTTTGAAGGCAAATAGTTTGGTGGCTTCCATCTCCGAACCAACCCTGATGCAACAACAGCCTCTATCACTAACTGGTAGATGGCAATGTGTAGAGAGAGGAGGCCTTCTAAAGGGTGAATCCACACTGAATTAATTTGGGCAGAAGAGGGGTGCTCCTGTTTTCAAGTAGGTTTCAAGAGCAGTGCCTCTGTACATGACCTCCGTGTGATGTACAGCTAAAAGTCTTGTTTTTGTGTACATGCCTAAAAAGCCAAAAATGAAATGTCTGGGATTCAGCAAAAAAGTGTTGTTTTTATCATTTTATCTTTCCCCCCCATGATGTAAAATCCACACACTTCTTTTTTTTTTCACATCTCAGGTGCTGGGAAGAGAAGTGTACACATCGAACAACCAACTTGGCGGCATTCAAATCATGCACAACAACGGTGTGACCCACAGTACTGTTTGTGATGACTTTGAGGGAGTCTTCGCGCTTCTGGAGTGGCTATCCTACATGCCCATGGTAATCTTGGGATGCTGCATCTCATATCAGTGTTATAAATGAACGTATCCAAATGTTTAGAGCTGTGTAGTTGTTGTCGTCGTGAATTAAAAACAACTTCCTTTCTTCAGTCTAAATCTAGTCCAGTGCCAATCCTCAATGCCAAGGATCCCATAGATCGGCTGGTGGACTTTGTGCCTACAAAGGCTCCGTATGACCCTCGCTGGATGCTAGCAGGACGTCCCAGCCAGAGTGAGTGTCCAGAGAAATCTTTTAATGGAAACTGTTCTGGTAGATACTCTTCAGGTGGTTGTTTTGTGATGTAAATGGAGGTAAGCAGTAGGTAAATGTTATGGAAGTATTTGATTTTTGTCATCTTTAAATATTACCACAACGATATACCTTATCCGTATTCCTCTCACATGAGTGAATTTTGCAAAAGTATTTGCTTGTCAAGCTTGTCCATCGTTAGGACATTTCTGATTGTTGATTGGACAAAAGACACTTTTCACCATTTCATAGACTAAATGTTTAACGTTAATTATTAATGAATCATCTAATTAATCTATAATGAAAACAATTGCTAGTTGCAGCCCTACATTAATACTGTACATTCAGCCCTACAGCCGTTCACTGCCCCAGAAATGGCTACATCAAATACTGAGTTGCGCTGAAAGTTGCATTGACGTACATAGCATCCTGGTTGTAACTGCGATGATGATTTATATACGTTCACTTTTGCTCATTTCCTCTACTAATCAGTTTTTATTCAAAATGCTTCATCAGCAGTGTTAAAGAGCCACACTCCCATTTGTTGTGTGTTATTTGTAAAGTATATTATTCATATACAATATTCATCATTTAATCCTAATATCCTCTGGGTTAAAGGTTGAAGTAATCCATTACTAGAGAGACTATTGAGAAACGGCGAAGCCTGGCATCATGCTTCTCAAGGCAACAATCGGTGATCCAGCATGTTTTACACTGCGGGTCAGGACTGAGCAGGTTCCACATCAGTGTTATTACAGCTTGGGAGAGAAGAGAGATTGGGGGACCGTGTGGGAAGCCAGTCAACGTCTCTGGTAGTGATGAGAGGCGAGGCTTAATTGAATGGTAACCTCACAGGCTGGGCATGTTCCTCGGGGTGTGCATGCAGAAAAAGAGCTGAATAAGCCTCCTCCTGCAGTCATCCATCATGGTTTGCTGCCAGGATTCGACTCTTGAGGAAAGAAATACACAACCTCGGACTGCAGGAGGACTGAAGCCAGAGTTTTTGAGAACGCTATGGAAAAAGATTGATTCAGCTGCATTTCCAATTTGCAATCATCAAGTCCACGGTCTTTCCTCTGACACCCTTTTTTTTTTTTTTCACCATTCTGCACTCGCTACTCTCTGTATACAGCTCCAAAGGGTTCCTGGCAGACTGGCTTTTTTGACCAGGGCTCCTTCATGGAGATCATGCAGCCCTGGGCTCAGAGTGTGGTGGTGGGCCGAGCCAGGTAAGTCCTCCCAGCAGAGCACTAAACCCCGATGACACACTGCCAGTAATGAATTTGTTTGCACTACAAACGTAGTGGAGGTGTTGTGTAGATGTCAGCGCTGAACGGCCTCTCTCTCCACAGACTGGGCGGGATACCGACGGGGGTGGTCGCCGTGGAAACCAGGTCAGTGGAGCTGTCGATCCCAGCCGATCCGGCCAATTTGGACTCTGATGCAAAGGTAAGAGGAGCGCATGTACTGAAGCGTGAACTGGCAAGTATTTCGACACTCGCAGACACAGCCGCTGATGCTGATTTTCTGATTTGTATATTTAGATCATCCAGCAGGCGGGACAGGTGTGGTTCCCAGATTCTGCTTTCAAAACAGCCCAAGCCATAAAGGACTTTAACAGAGAGGGTCTGCCTCTTATAGTGTTTGCCAACTGGAGGGGCTTTTCTGGGGGAATGAAAGGTACTTCAGCTTGCGTTGTAATCGGTCAATCTGGAGTTAAACCCATTCATTCAGTGTCATAAAATTCTCCTTTTGTTAGATATGTACGACCAGGTGCTGAAGTTTGGGGCCTACATTGTGGACGGGCTGAGGGAGTACAAGCAGCCGGTGCTGGTTTATATTCCACCCCATGCTGAGCTGAGGGGAGGATCCTGGGTGGTTATAGATCCCACCATCAACCCGCGTCACATGGAGATGTACGCTGACAAGGACAGCCGGTGAGTTGGACTGGAAATAAGGGGAAGAGTGAGTATCATCTTTATCAAACCACTTTTGTTCACTTGAATCATTCTTGTCTCCAGTGGTGGTGTTTTGGAGCCTGAAGGAACAGTGGAGATCAAATTCAGGAGGAAGGACCTGGTAAAGACCATGAGAAGAGTGGATCCAATCTACACAAGCTTGGCTGAAAAACTGGGTGAGTCCTCCATTTCAATTCTAATTATAGCCCTTTTACTGGCGTCTTTGTCCCCCTCGGCCTTGTCCTCATTTCAGAAAATGAGCAATATATCAGGTGGGAGCATGTGTGCTTTCACTGTCGCTCTTTATTTGGCGTTGATTGTATCATCTTCACTGCACTCCCTTGGGAGACGTGTCAATCACAGCCTGCTCAGATCAATCACCAGCTCTCCTGTCTCTCCCGCACAGCCTATTGATTTTCCTCTTGGGCTCAGAGCAACTGTGGTCCAATGCTGTGTGGGGCTTGGCGCTGTGGGCGAACTGGTGGAATGGAGGGTTTGCCGCGGATGGTTTGAGAGATTACAGATTGGAATTGACAGAAATCAGTCTTTGGTGACAGCAGCCCAGGGGTTGTGGGGAAGCTCTAAAACAAAATGCTGTTAGCAGGAGTTAATTCACCGCTGCATGCTCATGTAGAACCCGATTTGATGGTAATGGGACTATAAGGGGAGGCCAGCTATAGGACGATGTGAGGATAGAATTCTTGGCCTTCACACCTAAACTCAGTCCCTCATACACTGCATTTCCTGTGCCTATTAGCATCAACTGTGTTTCCATGTCCATAAACTCTGCTCGTAATAAAAAAAACTGCAGGCTTATTGCAGTCGGTTCTTGGCAAATGACCCGACAGCAGTATTTTACAGTATTGTTTTCCAACAGGAACGCCAGAGCTGAGTCCCCCTGATCGTAAAGAGCTGGAGACCAAACTGAAGCAGCGCGAGGAGTTCCTCCTGCCAATCTACCACCAGGTGGCTGTGCAGTTTGCAGACCTCCACGACACCCCAGGTCGCATGCAAGAGAAGGGCGTCATAACGGTGAGCACTTCTTGCAGCCTTGTATTTGCTACAGTGCAAGTGTGCCGTATGTCGGGGGGGAAGCCCACAGGGGAGTATCAGTCTAGCTGCTGTACCTGCACGTGCCTGGTGAATAATGTTTGGTCTCACTAGGCTGTGAGACTCGTAATTATCTTGTGATGACCCTGGTCAATCACCTTTAGAAACCACAGAGCAGCCTCAGGCGAGCCCCCCCCCATCTCATCATGGGCCTTCCCATTCCCATCTTACACACACACTCACTTTGACTGCCATCCGTCTGTGAAAGACCCCTCTGGCCGTGTGAGCAGTGTATTATTTTGTGCACGCAGTATGGACTGGAAAGACTTACCAACTGCAGTGGTCTGCATGTTCAACTCGAGTACATCTGCAGAGAAATCAGTGATCGTAGCTTCTAAAATCCTCACATCGTCGGTCCACTGCGATGAACTCTTCATTTACAGAACGACACGTTTCTGTAACGTACATTAACCTAATCAACAGTGTTACATCCGTAAATCCACGACAAAATGAAAAGATTCCCACATACAATTTTCATGAATCCACACATAAACGGCCTGAGATTATGTGATAGAAAATACTTAAATCAAGCCAAATGTACAGCACAGACCTTTCCTGCCAGGTATTTGGATTTCCTTAATGAGTTCTATGTCATTGTGACATCCCAAGGGATTGGTTGAGACAGGCAGAAAATTATTCATACTCCCCTTTTCAAAATCACAAAGAATGAAATACACTGACTTGTATGTTGACATTTAATAAATTGCCAAACGTAGGCGACAGTAGCTTCTAATTATATAGTTGCATTTACACTATTATTTCTTTTTGGCTTATCTCAGGATATCCTTGATTGGCAAACGTCCCGTCAGTTCTTCTACTGGCGCCTGCGGCGTCTGCTGCTGGAGGACACTGTGATGAGGAAGATCCAAGCGGCCAACAACGAGCTGACAAACGGCCAGATCCAGGCAATGCTGCGCCGCTGGTTTGTGGAGGCCGAGGGGGCCGTCAAGGTAAAAACCCACCACATTACTTATAGGCTTTGTCTCTTTGTCTCTCATTATTCAGGGACTTTGAGCGGAAGATGTAGGAAACCGTAGTTAATATCTCATAGACTTACATAGTATACGTGAGCTAGATTTAGAATTTAACTGAAAGTTGACAGCATACATAAATGATGATGATTTATTCAGCTTGCACAGATTCTAAACAGATGTATGTCTAACATGTGACTCTATGGCAATCAAAGTTAGCAAGCACAGCTTCATTTCAGTGGTCAGTTTGTGGTTCTTTAGAGTTTTAGAAAAGGTCAAAAATACCCTGTAAATACTCCTAAAGTCATGTAATGCAAATCATGCATTTTAATAACCAAGTCAAAGTAAAAGCTGAGAGATGTGATGAGAACGTGGGCAAAAAAACCTGTATAGAATACTACAGTATCTTGTTTCAGCATTTCCTAGATACACAGCCTCACAACTGAACAGACATCTGGAAATTGCTTATTTTTTCTTCTTCTCTCCAATGCCTTAAATCTGTTTCACACCAACGCAGATGACTTGTGCTAAAGCATGAGCAACATATGCGCTTAGACTTGTCATTTTTACAAATGTATTTCTAGATTCCATATAGTTCAGGTATCTACTCGTATCCAAAGTCATCATATTCAGTCCTCTGGGAGATGAATGATCGAGAGAGTCTTTTAACTCCAGTTCAGAATTTCATACTGGCTGCAATTTGTCCATTCCAGGTAAGTGTGTAGATGCTCAAGTAAACACCCTCTTAGCCTCTGGGAGTGATTACAGAGGCTGATTCTTTTTATCCTGAAGCTCCCATTCCTTCCCTTCAAGCTGCACCAGATAAAAGAGGCAGTCGGCTTTCCTGTTAAATCATCGTGTTGAAATACAGATGGTCTGATAAACTTGATAGTCAACGGAAATAAACATCCCTCAGAGACACACGAACGCCGTTCCTTCCGGCCCAGTCTCGGTGCTCAGAGCAACCAGCCACAGGGGCGACAGGAAGCCGGGCCCAGCATTTGAGATCTCCCTCAGAAGTGGCCTTCTTGTTAGCTAATATATTATCCCAATCAGGACTGGCTGTCTTAAGCCACAATTAATCACAGCCCTGGCACGTGCAGATAGGAGAGCAACACGCTGTTTCTTAATTAAAAGCAAACAGATTAAAAATGATTAATAAGGGCATTAAATGTACTTGCGGACCTCAAGCAGGACTGTTCATAAAAAAAGGCAAGAGCCCATTAAACCCCTCAGCCCCCAAATCTTTGCTAAGCCCTCCAGCCTGGCTTTGTTTGGGATCAGAGATGCCGGCACTCATGAATACTAATTTTTCCTATCGGGTCCAGTCAACGCGACATCGGGTCCCCCACTTTGCGCCTGTCCATCTCTTTTGTTGTTGTTGATATTTATTTGCTGATTAATAATATTGTATATGTTTTATCCATTCATATACGGTATTTGAGTTTTAATTGTTTCCTTTAATTCCCAATTGTGTGATGTCTAGACCCAATTTACTTACTTTTGAATCTTGCGAGTAGTTATTCATCTTCTCTCCTGTAACACCCGCCTCTTGCATTATACAGGCCTATCTGTGGGATGACAATGAAGAGGTGGTGGTATGGCTGGAGAGGCAGCTAGCTGAAGAAGAGGGCGCACGGTCCATCGTCGACGAGAACATCAAGTACATCTGCCGAGATCACATCCTCAAGCAGATACGCAGGTGATAATTCTAAACAGTGCAGGGAAGAGTTATACGGTCATCACCCCCACCTGGCTAACACATGAAATCCAGCCTTCCTTTCATGATTGCGATGTCTTCCTTTTGTTTTCAGCCTCGTCCAAGCCAATCCAGAGGTTGCCATGGATTCTATCGTGCACATGACCCAGCACATATCGCCCACACAGAGAGCTGAGGTGGTGCGCATCCTGTCCACAATGGAGACGTCGGCCTCCTCCTAGTGGGAGCCCGGCCTCTCCTCCCCCCTGCCTGGCTGAAGATCAGCTCAGGCCGCAGCCGCAGCCAAATGGGAGCCCGGCTCAGCCAGACCTGCTCCTGACCCGAGACCGGGGCTGGAAACCGAGGCTGGAGGAAGCCAACATGATGGGCCTTGGCAGCTGCCAGGTTACTGATGAATCGTTGGCTATGATTCTCACTCAGCAAGAGTTCAGATGACAGACGTCAATTATGACATTTTTGTAAATTGTCTTGTGAATCTGTATAATTTGCATTCAAGTGCAATTGAAAAATGTCGCAGGAAATATCTTTTGACTAATATGTAATAATTTGTTTGGGGTTTACACAGTTGGCCCAAGTGGATGTAGATGCTTCCATGATACAACAATACATTTAGAATGTTTTGTCATATTAAAATGCACCATGGTTTGTGACATATGCTTGTTAAGATTCACAAGTGTTTTGATGACCAAGTCGACAATGACAACACATTGCTAGGGGCATTAGCTCGAAAGGGGGTTTGCCGCTCCTAAGTAGGGAGCACTTAGTTACTGAACAAAGACGGGGAACACTACAACAGAGCTGGACAGGAGAGCCCAGCAGGAAGCGGGGGACGAGGTCCCTTTTAGACCCCGACTGTTTCACAGTTACCCTGCAGCGAGCGACGGGCAGCTCGCCTCACAATAAAACCACAGCTGTCCCTTCTGTTCGCGCAGTACACGCATGCTGCTCTAGATGCACTTTACTGCTTACGGTTCCCACACACATTTGCACCCAGAATCAAACCTGCAGTTTTAACTGGTGCATCTTGCATACATCCATACACATAAAGTCTTACAAAAAGTAATGAATACAGAGATGATAATCGCTCAAATGAGCATTAATAACTGTACGACGAGTGGATAATAGCGTTCTTGTTTCGAAAGAAAAGTCTGTTCTCCCTTGGGTTACTTTTTTTCCGGGACAAAAAAAGTCCAAGTAGTTGCTCCTAAAACAATTTATTTAATTTTTTTTTTTTAACTACAGAAATATTTTTGAATTTGTGCTAATTGGATTTCTAAATCATTAAATGTTTGTGAAAAAACAAAGGCTACTGTTTACTGGATTTACATGTTCTATAAAATGTGGTGTCTAATTTTCACTGTAATCCACACTAACTGTTCTATTTAAAGGTTCCGTATGTATATGAAATGTGACTTGTTTTTAATATTAATTCTTTGGAAAACTGTTGCATATTATTGCATATTACCTCTCTACTTGAGTTTGTTACAAATAGACAGGCAGACTGGGCCAACTGTATGAGACCAGAGAACATATACTATTCAGAAAATGGCACCATGATGTTGATTTCAATACTTTAGGTCAGCATGTCGTACGCTCTGCAGGAAATGCAACGTCAGCAATGTGAAACGGCTCTGTGTTCAGTGCTGTGCCTTTTTATGTGACTGTGTTGACATGTATTCCAGTTGCTTTATAAGTAACTGGTTGTTTCCTATTCAAGGATGGAGAACAATTGACAGTGATGAGCTCTAACTGTGTCTGCAAATTTAATAAAGCTTACCCAACTTAGTTTGAAGTGTGTGTGTGTGTGTGCAAAAACGTAACTGTTTCTTTTTTTAAGTAAGGCAGTTTTCACAAAACAAGTTTTTAAGAATTTGAAGTAATTTAATTTGTCAATTATTTTGGTATATTGATGATCCTCAGGACAGATAGTCACATCACTGGAAGCCTCATTAATTTCAGCAGTCAGAACAAAGTCTATTACTCTGGAGAGACGTTTTCTGATTACTCGAAAATGATAGTCTTCCCATTCCTCAATCCACAGATGATTAAAGTGGCATTTTCTTCCCGCCTTTTAAACTTCAACGGTATTAAGGAGGATGAAGCAGATCAAACAAACATTGAGGGATCTATTTCATCCTTCCTCCTTTCTTTTTTTTTTATTTTGCCTCGTTCTTTCATTTCATTCCCTTGGCTCTGTCAATTCTTTTACCATCCCACCAACAAATATGTAAGACAAATTGAGTTGCATGCACCCAATACCCACCACAATTATAAGTGGCCCAGTAAGAAAATGAGTCATTTGGTGGTATAATTGGAAATGTGCCTTTGCTTGGTCTCTGTGGTCTCCCAGAGGGTTTTGCTCATTTGTGGTGCCCATGCTAGGCTGGCTAATTCTCCTTCTAATCACAGACAAAATGCAGAATCAGGTTCCGCCTCAACCACTGGGGTGGAGGGAACGGGTTAGGTGAAACTGGCATGAAACGGCTTCATGTTGTCCTTTTTTTTTTATTTACAATGTGGATCAGGAGTGTTGATTTATAATATAATACATTGATTTACATCAAGTCTTGAAAGGTTTTGTCTGCCTTCTATTGGTCCAATGAAATACCTACTTTTAGGGAATAGAACTAAGCTGATATGCAAAATCTATATTTTTACTTTCCGATTGCCGAGCCCCAGTGAAGGCTGCTTTCAGGCAGAACTGTGACCAAAATGGAGCAGGGAACAGCAAGAAATATTAATCGTGGGAGAAAAAAAAAGAAGAAAATCAGTGTCTACGATAAGATTGAAATGTACGCATTAAGATAGTGCAGAGGGAAGACTCAATCATGCATCTGAGGCCACCATAATTCCACATTCACCCATCTCAATGACTTGACAGCACTTGAGAGACAATGCCCGTGACCCAGTTGCAGGATTCCAATTAGCAGGGTGTATGCAACAGTTGAGATGAAAAGAGAACAGGGTCTTTACAGAGCCCCAGGGCTGTCTGATTACTGCCTGAAAACAAGAGTCTTTTGCCCGTGACAAAGAGTCGACCGACACAGAGGGAGTGCCAGGCCCCAGCTGTTCTCATTCTCTCCAGGCTGAGGATTCTGGAGAGCTCATCTCCGCCTGCCTGCCTTTTTTTTTTTTTTTTTTTTTTTTTTAACATTACTACCATATCAGAAAGTATGCAGGCCAGCCACAGTAAGACACTTTTCATATGTGACTTATGAGTTAAATAACTTTTGGGAGATTTTTCAATCCTGGATAGAAACAGACGACCTCTGGTTCATAAGCCTGCATCTGTCACATCAAGGCAACCTCTTATGTTTTACGGGTATATCTATATTTCTTGTAACCATGTTAAAGTAGCCTATCTTTTTAGTCAAATGTTTTTAGTGGACTACTACAAAGTTTATTAACATTATAGTTCTATAACTCAAATTGAGCATTTTGAAATACATTGCCAAAGTGCATTTTCAATAAGTAAATTAGCTTGCGCTAAGGTAAGGTTTACTTTCAGCACAACCTTTTATCAGTGAATATTTGATCATTATTAAGTAAAAATAAAGTAATTTTACAACAACTTAAGCTGTATTTAAGTATTCCTATGAAACAAGTTCTAGTTTAAAACACAGTTTTTATTGTACTTAAGTATATTTTCCACAAGTCTTCAAATGCCTGTAAATCTGTGAAGTAAGTTTAGATGCTACTTATTATACATTCTTAATTAAACTCATTACAAGGTCATAAATCAAAAGTTATTATATCATGTGGTTAGAATTGTTAAATACAGATGATTTATATCCACATATCCAAAGCCTACTATCAACTTACTTCACATGGTGAAGCAGATACATTACATTTAGTACCCAGAACATGCTGCAATACAGTTTGATCAAACAGACTCCCAGTCTAGTTGGTCTTCAAGCTGATTCTCTAATGGGAAGTAAAACACTGTTGTCATACTGATGGCTTTGTTTGCATACAGTTTTATGACGGTGGTGCTTCAGATTCCACTATGCATGTCAAGGCTTTCATGATTTATAATGTCTGAAAGACTTAAATGATGAAGGGCAAACCGAATTTCTGAAAAGCAATTTCCATCTATAGATCAAGAATTAAAATGAATGACGTATTGTATCTTGAATGCAAGAGAGGCCAGCGTCGCTGTTCTAGTCGTGAATCTCTCCAGGGGCAGGGAGGCAGCCTGTCAGCCAGCTGCATGAGAGGCTTAATCTTCAATCTGCGTTTGGAACGTGCCACAGGGGTCAAAGATTACAACACCCTGTGATCATCGGCCCCATAATGCATACATTCTCATTCTGTCAGGGCTTGGTAAACATTGGCCTGACTAACCGAGCATCGGGACAACAGAAGAGGAGGGCTAACTCACAGGCAGACAAACAGACAGAAGAGGGAGAAGGCACCAGAACAAAACAGAGGACTTTACGTTAAAAGCTCAGCACCGACTAAATATTTTAGTCTTGACTTCATTCAAAAATACAGTTTTTATTTTAATAATAAACACATCCACCAGCAAAACTCTCCTCAATAGCCTGCTTTTCATCGTCAGGAAGAAATCAATATTGTGCTATAGTCGAGTACACAATAATTAAGTTGCTATTTGTCCTAATACTGCTGCTCATGCAGCAGACTGTTTTTACTGCAACATCAGAGAAACATAGCTCCACCAATATGAACAATAATATGCAAAAAGCTCCTCAGCTGTGCATTGCAGACCAGGTGAAACTGCTCCCTGTACCATACAGCCACCACCACCCCCGCTCACCACCACCACCACCCCGACATTAACATTCATGGAGCCACTGGAGTGTGGCGAGCCGCGTAAATCGAGCCAGCGACGAGATGCAGGGATGGGGGGGAATGGGGGATGGAGGGATGTTTGAGGAAGGCGAGGGGTGGGGTGGGGTGTGGTGTGGTGGTGGTGAAGGTTGCCCAGTATGGGATTGTGGGAAAGGTCAGCAAGCAAGGTGCTACGTCTTTGGCCATATATCACAGTTATTACTGTGGGTCATTGACTGGTATGGAAATTAGAGGAGCAGTGACAGGCCCGCGTGTCATGATGCTGTAAGAATGGACAAGGCCGGGCCAACAAGAAGGCACTGCATCTCAGTAAAAGCGGCATGGCTCCAGGGCATGGCAAAAAAATGGACATTCCCATCAGCCTCAGCTGTATAGGCCTAACTAACAAAATGCTTGCATGCTAGCTAACAAAGATGGTGAGCATGGCATTTACAGTACCATAGACTGTATGAGAAGTGGACGTAATCGCCGTGATGTCACCCACTGGTTTGTGGACTTCGGTTTTGAAGCCTCGAGTTCGGCGTTTTGGCCACAGCCATCTTGGAGCCTGACCCTAACTACTCGAGGTCAATGCCTAACCTTAACCAACCGTCTCTGCCTCAACCAGCTACGCAGGGCTGGTCCTGCCAAGACAAGCAGTGGGATTCATAATCTCGCCAGCATACTCATAAGAAGTTATAGTATGCACAGAGATGCTGACTAAAACAGTTGAGCTGATTGCAAACGTCAGTCCAGCAGCAGTGCTGTTTGAGAGGTGCGCCACATTAAAATGCATGCATTACAGGCATATCAGCAGAGCGTGGAAAGCCAACTCCCTATGGAAATGTTGGTCGGCTGCTTCTCATAGGGCCTGCGGAAGGGTTTATTTGTGACCAGTGTCCTCTGGCTCAGAAGGACAAAGGCAGCCAACCAGGGAAATCATTGTGCTTGACAACATCACATACAGTAGTTCCATCTGACAGCGTTGGTTTGAAACATTTAAATCAGACTGATGAAGACGTTTTTAAGTTATCGAGAAGCTGTCACTCCAGAAGAGTGGTGGTGGTGGAGAAAAGTAAAGACTGTGGAAGGGAGACATCAGTATTGCTGAGCATGGTCATACTGCTGCAAAAGCTGCTTCTTCTCTGTAATGTATTGACTGACTGGCTTCTGATCTAGCTTTGGCTGCAAAAAAAGGCCTACGTTTCAGATGAATGTGCTTTTAATGAAGCTCTTCACTTAGTGCTGTAAAAAGCTTAAAACAAACTTTTGACACTGGAGAAGACACCTGCAGCACTTGATCAAACACTGAATCGATATGTGGTGCGTTTCTCCTGGTGGCTCAGAGAAATGGGAGTACAAAGCAGAGGAGGTGGAGGTGTGGACCTGGCAGAAACACTATAGCTCATGAACCCCCCCCCCTCTCCACAACTGTCGCCACCCTGGTCGTCAACCCCATTACACAGACGCATGCACACAGACGCATGCACACAGACGTTTTGCAGCGCCGAGCCTTTTCACACTTGAACATTTGAACGCTTGATTAGAAAGGAGAGAAGCGGCAATCTTCAATGTGTCTTTGTCATGTCTTTGTCTCAGTGTCCCCACGAACCACAATTACAGCACACAAAGAGATGTGAAGGAATTCAGCGGAGAATGTGTAGCATTGTGTCAAACCAGCTGGGGACCAAATACCTCCTCGTGCCTCCATACTGCAGGATATTTCAGGCCATTATTTTGCGTGCTGTTATTTGGCTTTTGACGTCTTTTGTCGAAAACAAGATCACGAGTAGTCGATTTCACAGACTGGTAGTGATGAACATCTAATTATGTTAGCAAGTTATCGCAACACAATTGGCAGCTGTTTGCCAATTTCCAAATCATGCATTTGAAATTATCAAAAACATGTATGTTGATAATTAATAATAACACCTAACTTTGCAAGGGCAGATCATATAGAATAATTCAGAACATGTCACATTTTAATGCATCTC